TTAATTAGTATTTTTCTTTAATAAACACATATATTTTATCTTATATTTTATCTTATTTTCTTCTTGCTCTATTGAGAGAGCATTTGGTCAAAAGTAAAATTATATATATTATCTTATTGAGAAAATAATTATATTTTATTATAAGTAAAACACGTATAGATTATCTTATTAAAAAGATAATTATATTTTTGTTAGAAGTAAATCTTATATACATCATCTTATTAAAAGAATAATCAGTCACATAATCTCTTGAAGTTATAAAAGTTAATAACTGCCGTGAATACAGTTACTATTATCATTTTAAAATAATTACATATGCATAATCTTAAAATGGTAATAATATTTTTAACTTTAACTTTAGTATTCTTGGCTTTAACTTTAGCAAATTTTTTTTAAGTTCAGAAATCTTGGCATTCTCCTGTCTAAGTTTATTATTCTCAGTTACAAGCTTGAAAATCTGTTCTTCTAATAAATCAATTTTAGATTGTGTGTTTGTCATCATTTTATATAGGATCCATATATGTTCAAAAGTTTAAAAAATCACATGCATATTCTTTTTCAGAATACCAATTACTTTTGTCAAGAAAAATATTTTGGGAAAATTATCTCATGGAATGGAAATTATAATATATTATTTAGCATATTATAATTACTTTTTCAATAATAAATTTTTAATGATCATTATCTGAGATATACAAATTAGAAATTATAAACTCAAAGAGCTATTGCTTTGCATTAAATTATTACTATGTATATATAATATGCATATTGAAAAAAAATATGCTTATAAGATATGCAAGAGATTAGGTTAATTAGTTATTATTTTATGAAATTAATATTAATCTTTGCTTTTTAGCTTTTACGTATGATAATTGGTATTTCATTTAGGATTATCACTCTGAGATATTCAAATCCAAGATATGTAATTTTCTACTTATTAATTATGCTTATAATAGAGATACAATATAGGTATGATAAAGATGTAATATAGATATGACAGATTTTTTTCTTATATAATTCTATAAAAAATAATATATCATAAGTATATTTCTCATATAGTAAAATTTTTGTGATATGGACTAATAATCAATTATGCTTACTAATTGACCAGAGAAAAAATCACAATACCAAGTATCATAAAATTCCCAGTAGTAGTAGAGTTAATTTTTAGAATAGTATTGCAGATATAATTAATGAATAATTTGGAACTAGCTATATAGGATACCAATATAAGAATAAATTTCAGCATCTTGTAAGAGATCATAATATAAGTATTTATTTCCTGTTTACTCACAAGTATTGCAAAGAAATAAGGCCCTGCCTTTTGTATCCAGATATGTATAGTTATCTAATATAAAATTTTACCAGTTAATGGAATAGTACATAGCTAGGAGCAAAACAAACAAGAGAAGCAGAACTGATGAGTGATATTTTGAAGAATTTCATTCTCATTTTTGGGAGAGATCAGATAAGTTTACTGAATATGTTATAATCTATTAGTTATGCTAGCTCTACTAATAGCAAATATACTAACTAGTACAATTATATTACATGTGGAATAAAGAAATAACATTTGACTTAGTGCATAGTGTAAATATATCTATCAAAAGATGGCATCATAATCGTACTTCACTACCAACTTATGATAGAGTGTCATTAATTCTAAGTATTAATTACTGTAAATTCTTTGCTGATTAAAGAGATCAATCTGCATCTCCAACCCAAAGAATTTCTAGCAGAAGAGACAAAACTATTAATTAAGATAATGCAAGTAATATAAATAATATGAATGGAAATTCAGATAATAACATAAATGATGCGGGTAAAGATCCAGGTAATAACATAAATGATACAAGTGAAAATCTGAGTCATAATGCAAATGATATAGATGGAAATTTAGATAATGTGACATACTCATCTTCATCTGAGTTAGCAAATATAATCTCAGCTCTTAATATATCTGCATCACAAAATAACAGTAATTTAAGTATGTCTAATATAGAGAAATGCTAAAGCAGGGTAGTGAATTATATATTAATTCGAATTATGTAAATTCAGATCATATCAATCTGAATTTACTTATAAAGTTATATAATCATACATAATATATTTTGTCATTATTGCAAGGTAATTTTTTTTGTTTTTTATTTTTATTTTTTTGAATATTTGGCAGGAAAATAAAAATAATAAGAATAAGGGTGAATAGAAGATGTGATATTGGTTAAGGAATAATTATGTTGATAATATAAGCTTAAAAATATATTCGCATAAGAAACACAAAAAAAAAACCAAATACATATATGCAAGAAATATAAATCTTATATTTCAAGCTGTATTTAAGCTGCAAGAAATGTAAATCTTATATTTTGAGCTGTATTTAAGCTGCAAGAAATACTATAAAAACAACTCACACACACATATACATATATACAAATTATACATATACATAAATTACATGGCATACTACATAACACACCACACAGTATATCACATACATACCATATATATACATATGAATATATACATATACACATGCACATATATACACATACATACCTATACACCTTTATACCTTGAATAAGACTTCTAATACAAGAAATTATTAATTAAAAATATGCGAGTCTTTTTAATGTTAATAACTTCTTCAAAGTATCTGAAAAGGAGTTTTGTGAAGAATTATGGCCACTCATATCCAACATCTGGATGTAATATAAAAGCTGGTGATCTCTTAATAATAATTTTTGGATTGTTTATACCTGTTATCTCTTAAAGTATCATGAATTTAGTATGTGAAAAGCAGAGATCCCAGTTAAAAAGAGGAAAAAGACAAGTAAACACGATCCCAACCAATATAATACCAGAATTAAAGTAATGTATATCATCATAATACAAATGATATAAATCAAATACTATAAAAATACTCTGGATCATACATACCAAATCAAGAATATTAATCAAATAAAGTGATTAGAAGTAATTAGACAGCTGGTAACTAATGAAACAAGTAAACTATATAAACCACCAGCTATCATTATCATAATTAAGGAACTTGCAATAAATAAGAGGCTTAATATTATCACCCAAAAATTACGTCAAACTGAAGTGATAAACATTCAACAAAATATACACAAATCACTAACTAAATATCTTATAAGTAAAAAAGATCTTGAATCTAATATTCAGTATATTTTGAAATTCCTAATTAACAAAAATTATCAAGTTGAGCACTTCGAGATCATGCAGCAATTACAAAAAGTATCACAAGATCTCTGCTTTGCAAATCATAATCAATTGAAAAAATTATAATACCATGGATGACTAATTCTTATAGACTCAACACATAATACTAATAAGTACTTATGGCATCTTTTTATCTTATATATTTGAGATGGTTTCAGTTATTGGAATGTGGGTGCATATTTTCTTGTTAGTAAGGAAGATAGTGATACAGTAACTAAGATGTTAAAGGTGATTTGTCAATTTGAACCTCATTAACTTTCTCATTATATGTTATATGATTAAAGTAATATAGAAATGAATAGCATCATAAATATCTTTCCTGATATTACACGTGATGAACAAAATTGTAATGTTATTCTTTGTACTATACATATTATGTGAACATGGCTACATAAAATTTATTATCTAGTGACACACAACCAAATAATCTTAGCCATGCATAAAAAGATGAGTATTGGTTGTGAAGAGATTATTAAGAATACCATTATTATCTGTTCTGTTCCTGAAATTATTTATTATATTAATTGTAATTATACTAATAATATAGAAAAATAGGCACTTTGGACATGCCAGTACCCTTCTCTTTTATTATAAGTCACCTTAATAAATTTACTAGAATCCTATTATAGTGAACTCAAGAGAATAACAGCAAAGGAATACAGATTAATAGGTGAGACACAATTTATTTTGTAATAATTTCTCTTAAATTTTCCAAGCTTACTAGATCACATGATAAATTATATTTTTATTATTAACAGTCTATTCTTTATTATATAATTTAGGAGCATATTTTAAAATTATCAAACTTAATGATAAGAAATAGATTGATTCAGAAAAAACAGCTCTTAACTTTCATCAAAAATGTATCTTTGTAATTGATCTTGATAATAAGATACTTGAACAAATACATAAGTTTCTCTATCCTATCCAAAAGTTAATTATAAATGAAGCTATAGCTATGAATGCAAGAATAATGAAGGGAAAGTCACTATCAAATTTATAAATATCTTAGTATAATTGTATATTTTTTCATCATTATTTACTTCTATATCAATACATCCTTCATTAACACATTTTCAGTTCTAATAAGCTATTAACAGTTGAGATTTGGAATAAATTCTAATAGATATTTGAAGAGGTTAGTTTTGAAGTATATGAACATCATGAAATGATTGAGCTATCTGAGCCAATTCAAATTCAAGTGAAAAAAGAAGCAGAGATATGAAGACTTCAAATTGGTAAACTTATGAAAAGGGTATGGAATAAGTATTGAAAAATTGAAAATAAAGGTGATATAGAAGTAACTAAGATATTTATTATATGTTTAGATAAATCGTTAGCTTTAGTTTTTAATAATAAAAAATATTAAATTTAAATAATTATATATATATAATTATTATTATATATTTGCTATAATTATCTCTGTATTTCTTAATTATTATTAATTTTTTATATTCACTAATTATCTTCACTATTATTATCTAATAATATATTTAGCTAATAATTATCTTTTACATGATATAAATAAATCACATGATACAATCCAGATTGAATTCTATATCACGTGAGACTACCCAGTTTTAGTAGACCTCCTAATATAGAAGGAGATAGTTAGCTATCCTCTTATATGGAGGTCCACTAAAGCTGGATAGTCTCATGTGACATAAAATTTGATCTGGATTATATCATGTAATTCATTTGTATTATGTGAAAGATAATTATTGGCTAAACATATTATCAGATAATAATAGTGAAGACAATTAGCAAATACAAAAAATTAATAATGATTAAGGAATATAGAGATAATTATAGCAAATGTATAATAACAATTATATATATATAATTATTTAAATTTAATATTTTTTATTATTAAAAACTGAAGCCAATGATTTATCTAAATATGTAATAAATGTCTTAGTTACTTCTATATCACCTTTATTTTCAATTTCCTAATATTTGTCCCATACCCTTTCCATAAGTTCACCAATTTGAAGTCTTCATATTTCTGCTTCTTTTTCTACTTGAGTTTAAATTAGCTCAGGTAGCTCAATCATTTCATGATATTCATATACTTCAAAATCAACCTCTTCAAACATCTATTAGAATTTATTCCAAATCTTAATTATTAATAGCTTATTAGAACTGAAAATATATTGATGAAGGATGTGTCAACATGAAAGCAAATAATAATGAAAAAATATATAATTACACTGAGATATTTGTAAATCTAATGGTGACTTTTCCTTCATTATTCTTGCATTCATAGCTACAGCTTTACTTATAATTAACTTTTAGATGGGATAGGAAAACTTATGTATCTGTTCAAGTATCTCATTATTAAGATCAATTACAGAGATACATTTTTGATGAAAGTTAAGAGCTATTTTTTCTGAATTAATCTGTTTCTTATCATCAAGTTCAATAATTTTAAAATATGTTCCTAAATTATATAATAAAGAACAGACTGTTAATAATAAAAATATAATTTATTATGTAATCTAGTAAGCTTAGAAAATTTAAGAGAAATTATCACAAAATAAATTGCATCTCATCTATTAATCCATATTTTTTTATCATTATTCTCTTGAGTTCACTGTGATAGAATTCTAGTAGATTCATTAAGATGACCTGCAATAAAAAAGGAGAGTGCTGACATGTCCAAAGTACTTATTTTTTTATATTATTAGTATAATTATGATTAATATAATAAACAATTTCAGGAATAGGACAGATGATAATGGTATTCTTAATAATCTCTTCATAACTAATACTCATCTTTTTATGCATGGCTAAGATCATTTGGTTACATGTTACTGAATGATAAATTTTATGTAGTCATATTCATATAATATGCATGGTACAAAGAATAATGTTATAATTTTGTTCACCACATGTAATACCAGGAAAGATATTTATAATACTATTCATTTTTATATTACTTTGATTATATAACATATAACGAGAAAGCTAACAAGATTCAAATTGACAAATTATCTTTAATATCTTAGTTACTGTATCACTATCTTCCTTACTAACAAGAAAATGTACACCCACATCCCAGCAACTGAAATCATCTTGAATATATAAGGTGAAAAGATACCACAAGTGCTTGTTGGTATTATGTATCAAGTCTATAAGAGTTAGTCATCCATAACATTGTAATTTTTTTAATTAATTATGATTTGCAAAGCAGAGACCTTGTGATATTTTTTGCAATTGCTGCACAATCTCAAAGTGCTCAATTCAATAATTTTTGTTAATTAGGAATTTCAAAATATACTGGATATCGGATTCAAGATCTTTTTCACCTATAAGATATTTAGTTAGTAATTTGCATATATTTTGTTGAATATTTGTCACTTCAGTTTAATGCAATTTTTGGATGATAATATCAAGTTTCTTATTCATTGTAAGTTCCTTAATTGTAATGATAATAGCTGGTAATTTATATGGTTTGCTTACTTCATTAGTCACTAGTTGTCTGATTACTTCTGGCCACTTTATTTGATCAATATTCTCAATTTGGTATATATGATTCAGAGTATTTTTATAGTGTTTAATTCATACTATTTGTGTTGTGATGATATGCGTTACTTTAATTCTGGTATCATACTGGTTAGGATTGTGTTTACTTGTCTTTCTCCTCTTTTTAACTGGGATTCCTACTTTCTGCATATTAAATTCATGATGCTTTAAGAGATAACAGGTGTAAATAATCCAAAAATCATTATTAAGAGATTGTCAGCTGTTATATCATATCCAGATATTGGATATAAGTGATTATAATTCTTCACAAAACTTCTTTTCAAATACTTTGAAGGAGTTATTAATATTAAAATGACTCACATATTTTTTATTAATAATTTCTTGCATTAGAAATCTTGTTTAAGATGTAAAGGTATATAGATATGTATGTGTGTGTATATATGTATATGTATATATATGTGTGTGTGTGATGTGCATGTGGTATATTATGTGATGTGCCATGTGATATGTCATGTGATTTGTATGTGCGTGTGATTTGTATGTATGTATATATATGTGTGTGTATGTGAATTTTTTTTATAATGTTTCTTGTGGCTTAAACACAGCTCAAAATATAGATTTATATTTCTTGCAGCTTAAACACAGCTCAAAATATAAGATTTGCATTTCTTGCATATATATATTTGATTTTTTTTTTTGCATTTCTTATGTGAATATATTTTTAAGCTTGTATTATTGACATAATTATTTCTTAACTGATATCTCATCTCCTATCCACCCTTATCCTTATTGTTTTTATTCTCCCACCAAACATTCAAAAAAATAAAAACAAAAAACAAAAAAAATTATCTTGCAATAATGATAAAATATATTGTGTACGGTTATACAACTTTATAAGTAAATTCAGATTGACATGATCTGGATTTACATAATTCGAATTGACATATAATTCACTACCCTGCTTTAGCGTTCCCCCTTATATGGAATCTATAAAAATTCCGAGTTAATGAAAATCACATGCCTGAGAAATCGATTGCGTAACACAGATTTTCGATCAACATATATCACCTGGAAAAATTTCTACCGAAAAGTAATGTGACACAAGTATTGTGAAACCGAATACATTTCTCACATATACCCATGTCCCGCAAAATTATCTTTTTTTCACTTTTTCTTGTGTACCATTCCGCAGTCTACCAATAAAAATCCACCAAAAAATCATATATAACTCGAAATGTCCACTACTTCAACGCCAGCTTCGTCTTCTAACAATGCGACCGAAGAAAAGCCCGCTCCCACTTTGGCCGAAGTGGTCAGAAAGTTGAATACGGAAAAACTTATCGAATTTTTGCGTGGGGAAGAAGACTTGCAACTTAACGATGCTCATTTCGAAATCTTACGCAAGGAGGAGATCTCTGGCCGTAATTTCCTCAAATTGAGCAAACAAGATTTCAGGGATTGCGGATTTAAAGTGGGACCTGCTACGACTCTTGCCGACTTCGCCAAAGAGGTCAAGGAGAAAAAATTGAGGGCATATTCGTCTTTCCGCACCCAGGCAGACGTGAAGGAAGTATTGGAAAAGTATAAACTCGGTGATTCAATATCGAGCATTCCACAATTTCAGCCGACTATACACAAACTCGAGGACACCAATGAGGCGCTCATGCATTGCATAAAGGAATTACGACTCAAGTTAAAAAATTTGGGAGGGTTGGCACCAGATAGCAATGAAGCGGTGCGTTGTGAATTCATATCGCCAATTCTGCATGCGTCAGTTAGCCTCCTCGAAGGTCTTATCCTGGCACCACAATTCGAAGTCGTCGGTGATGAAACCACGGGTCGGGTTGATTATGCCATCAAAAAACTTAGATTCATTGCGTGAGGAAATTGTATGTATCACAGAAGGCAAACAGCACCAAGTGGCGATTGGTTTTTGCCAGAATTTACTTCAGATTGAGAGCGCGTGTCAAACGAATAAGAGGAAACGTAAGGCAGGGGAGGCATTTTCTGACGAATATGACTACATGTATGGGATCGTAACTACAGGTAAGGGTTAATAATGAATTTTTTTCCGACAAAATTTTGCTAATCTATCTCCCAACTTTTAGCAACGGAATGGTACTTCATTTTGTACACGACTGAAGGAATTTATTCCACGAGCGAGAAGGATTACCTCATCAGCTTCAAAAAGTCGGCCCTCGATAATGAAGACGAATTCCGGCGCAGTGAATGAGAAACCATTGGCGAAAAAACGTCGTGTTGGTAGTATTCTCAACAAATAGTCAGGATCCGTATCCAGCTTTGTAATCTATTTTTTTCATTAGCGGAGCTAGCAAGGTTAATAAAGAAATGAATTTTTTCACACGTTACGCATATCACTGATCCGGAATTGCAAATCATGGGCTACATTATGTCTCCGAAATCATTCTAATTCCGAAATGAAGACCGTTATATAGATGGAGAACTGGGAGTAAAACTCATCCGTTACTATGAGCCAGGGCGAAGTAAGTAAAGATGACGATGATTATCTTCTGGGTGATGATGAAGAAAGCCCACCATCCTCCACCTGAAACCTCGAGTGACTATTCACTTCCCTGTGATTTTGTTGAAGACGCTTGCACTAAATATCCTCAAAGATTACCCAGGAACACTTGCTAACGAAGATGACATTCCGAAACTTGACAATAACTTTGTTCGCCTGTGCGCATACATGTGTATGGAGAGGGAACTAATAAATACAGACTCAAGTAAATGTAATATTTACCGTAGAACAACTTATAATGAAACAAAAGAATTTACTTGACCGAAGATGGAACCTCATCTTTAGCTGGTGAGCTAGAACGAGGGCTTGGAATGATTTCTCCATTGAGCAGTATTCAAGAAGACTAAAGCCGGAAGCGTTTCTCCTACCATCGTTGAACCCTCAGCCTCATTCTAGAGAAGATTCTATTTTCGTTGAACACAGAGGTGGCGTGGAGAACTTAGATGGAAATTTTTACGCCAATACAATTAAATCATCAAAGCCGAAGAATAAAAGTTTCAGATGCTGAATTTATGACAAGTTAATGAGGAGTTAAATTTCAATTTCAAATTTTTTCATCAAAGTATGACAAAAGATTATGCTAGCTTCTACATAAAATACTGTTATTGTTCCGGATAAACTTTCAACAAATACCGACAATAATACAGCACATAATATTCCTATAATTATAATAAGTGATATTAACACTATGCTAGAAATTTCAAGATTTCCTCTTTTTAATGTTATCGCCATCATAGTAATTTGAATTAAAAATAATAAGCCATTGAGGATAATTAAAAAAATTTTTAATTTGTCGTCGTCATTCTTATAAATGGTTGCACTAAAAACCGTGAGTAGAACAAGGACAGAAACGTAGGTTATAGTATAGAGGATATTTTGGTCCAAGTCCTAGCGGAAAAGTCGCGAAAAAAAACGATGAAGAGACTACAAAAAGATTTAGTAAAAATTTTAACGATAAATACTGTATATGTCGCTTATTTTAGACATACTGATTTTTGGCGATCTTTCTCGTCCGCATACATAGTCGCTCGGATAAAAATGAGTTTCGATGGATTATCTGGCAGGGCGTTAAACGCTCTTAGTTATCGTCGGGAGAGTCCATTAAATACCTCAGTTTCTCTCTCATTTAAAGTAAGACCAGGGGGAAGAGGAGTGGCCATTGGTGTTATCAATGGGAAAGCTGTTATTATTGATAAGGGAGCTATTAGTGAGATGGATATTTGTTGATGAGGTTCAAAGGTTCCTCAAGCACTCCTTAAATACTTCTGGTCAAAGAAATACGTGATTGTGGGAAAAAGTGATAGGACAATGATGACGTATAAATAAATCTGGTTGATGTGATACAAGCTGATCTACTGAGTCACTTTCTAGAGCATTGTATCCGCTTTTCATTCTACCAAGCCATGAGATTCACGGGAGAGAAAGGTACAGGCCGAGTCGGTTATGCAATCAAGGTATAATTTTTGTATTAGCAGATGAATAACGAATAATTACTCAGATTCATGCATATAATAGGGAAGCGAAGAGTTGATTTGCATTACCGAGGATAAATAACACACCTTTTTTGTTCTTTACACAGCCGATATTGAAAACTAGTAAGTGTGAAGAATTTTCTACTGACAATCAAACTTCCATTATGATACTTGTTATTTATAATATTCACTTCTCAAATTGCGATATATTACTGCGCCACATTACTACGCCCTTGTGACATGAAGGCGATCATTGTATATTAGCCTCTTCCCACACTTTTTTCTCTCGCGACAATCAGAGTCATGTGATTTTTAATAAACTTTCTCATGGAATGAGGATGCTCTCGCATCTGAACATATCCGCATCTTGTATAAACAATGTCAGATACTCAATCAAAAATCGATTCATTGCAAGAATTAAATTCTCAACTCATTGCCACGATTACTGGGCTTAGAAAAGAGAACGCTGAGGTCAAGGCCGAGAATACAAAATTAAAGTGGGCTATGGAAGAGAATGCTGAGCTTAAGAGCAGAATCGAGGAGTTAGAGAAAAATAGGAGAGATAGTGATGCTGAGAATGTCAAACTTAGAGCTAGAATTGTGAAATTAGAACAGGATTTCAGGAAGTCACAAAACGAGATTTCTCTGGAGGAAGACACAAGTATTGATATACCTAGCACTGTTATAAGCCAGTGTATTAATGCCAACTCTTCATCCATATCGCCAGAAGATAAGGAGGTTGACAAATTCGTGGATTCAAAATATAAGGAAAAGGTCAGTAATGAGATAAGAGAGAGGAATCAGGAAAAAAAGCTCCTTATATCCGATGATGTACCGATATACTCTGGTCAATCGCACAAGAAGAAAACAACGCAAGATATTGTACAAGATATATTTGAGTTTACCATCACTTCACCTAAAAATCATTTGATAGAAATCTCGCTTCCAGCCCGAAAGGAAAAATGCCAAGAAATATCTAATGTATTGCAAACCATAGCTTGCTTATATGAAAAAGCATGTAATGCTGAAAAAGAAATAGTAAAAGCTAATCAAGCTGAAATTTTATGCTTGTATAACTATTTTAAGGAATTCTATTATCAGGTTAAAGAGATTATGAGAACGGATCAGATTAGTGAGAAAAAAGCAAAGGGAATAATTTATAATTTTATTATTAAGCAAATTCCTGGTACCAAACGAGAAAATTT